CCGAGGACACTTTTTACATCTATCTTCAGGTAGAGTGGGAAGGAGAGAGGGAGGAAGAGAGAGAGAAACATCAATGTGAGAGAGAGAGAGACGTTGACTGGCTGCCACCCGCACAACCCCAACCCTGGGGCCAGGGCAAACTGCAAATGAGGTACGTGCCCTTAGTGGAAACCGAACTCAGGACTCTGTGGTCTGCGGGCCAGTGCTCTAACTGCTGAGCAAAACCACCCAGGGCAAGAAAAAGTTTTTTTTAATCAATTTTAAAAATGAGGTAACATTGGTTAATCACATCATATAAATTTTAGGTGGACAACATAACTTTATATACTCTATTGCATGCTCATCACCAGAAGTCTAGTTTTTTGTTGTTGTTGTTGTTAATCCTCACTCGAGGATATTTCTTCATTGATTTTTTTTTTTTTTTTTTGAGAGAGAGTGAAAGGGAGGCAAAGAAGGGGAGAGAGAGAGAGAGAGAGAGAGAGAGAGAGTGACAGACAGACAGACAGACAGACGTGAGAGAGGTACGTTGATTGGTTGCCTCCCACATGCAGCCATGGATGGAACCTGCAACCCAGGTACATGTCCTTGACTGGGAATTGAACCCACAGCCCTTTGTTACGTGGGCCGATGTTCTAACCACTGACGACAACAGCCAGGGCTAAAGAGCATTTTTAATACGCCATTAATTACTACTGGTTTTATATTCTGCTTCTGAGGCCAGTTGAATTTACCAAAGTTTCCATTATTGAGAACTCTTTCTACTCTTCGGGGAAGAACTTTTCCTCGATCTGCAAGGGGAAGAGTTATTTTCAAGGCAAAGGAAAGTACCCTGTATTTATTTCTCTCTATTTAATCATTTCTGTATTTTTCAGTTTCAGTTGACGTACAATATTGTATTAGTTTTAGGTGTACATCCCAGTGATTAGATATTGTATAACTTACTAAATGATCATCCCGATAAATCTAACACTATACAAAGTTATTAGAATGTTGTGGACTGTATATCCTATGCTGTACTTGACATATATCCTATGCTGTACTTGACATCCCCAGGACTATTCTGTTACAACCAATTTGTAATCCCTTCATCTTTTTCACCCATCCCCTTAACCCCCATCCCCCATCTGTTAACCCTCAAAATGTTCTCTGTATCTATGAGTCTGTTTCTGTTTTGTGTCTTTGGTTTTTTAAAGATTCATTTGTTGATAGGGTATGTATTGCCATTTTATTGTTCATCTTTTTTTAATCTTTATTTTCCTTCTTAAAAAAGACCCTTTAACATTTCATATAATACTGGTTTGGTGGTGATGAATTCCTTCAGCTTTTTTTTGTCTGGGAAGCTCTTTATCTGTCCTTTGATTCTAAATGATAGCTTTTCTGGGTAATCTTGGTTGTAGGTTCTTGCTTTTCATCACTTTGAATATTTCTTGCCACTCCCTTCTGGCCTGCAAAATTTCTCTTGAGAAATCAGCCAACAGTCTTATGGGAGCTCCCATGTAGGTAACTAACTGCTTTTCTCTTGCTGCTTGTAAGATTTTTTTTTGTCTTTAACCTTTTGCATTTTAATTATTATGTGTCTTGGAGTGGACCTTTTTGGCTTCGTGTTGTTTGGGACTCTGCGCTTTCTGGACTTGGGTGTCTATTTCCGTCACCAGGTTAGGGAAGTTTCTCGTCATTATTTTTTCAAATAGGTTTTCAATTTTTTTTTTTAATTTATTTTTATTTTTTTATTAATTAATTTTTGTTACAGATGTTTCTCCTTTTCCCCCCACTGATTCCCCCCTCCCCCTCCTTCCCTGCCCTTTCCCCAGTTTGTTGTCCATGTCCACTGTTCATGCACGCATGCATATAAGTTCTGTGGTTTATCTCTCCCCCACCACCCCCTCTTCTGGGGATTGTCAGTTTCTTAATCTCTTCTCCTTCCAGCACTGCCATGATGTGAATGTTGGTATGCTTGAAGTTGTCCCACAGGATCTGTACACTGTCTTCATTTTTTAAAATTATTTTTTTCTAGTTACTGTTCTGATTGTATGTATTTTGCTTCCTTATATTCCAAATTGATGGTTTGATTCTTGGCTTCACTTACTCTACTGTCAATTCCCTGTAACTTATTCTTCATTTCAGTTAGTGTATCCTTCATTTCTGACTGGTCCTTTTTTATGGTTTCCATGTCCTTTTTAAAAAAAAAAAAAAAATTTTTTTATCCTCACTCGAGGACATTTTTCCATTTTTTTGCTCAGATAGAGTGGGAGGAAGAGAGAGAGAGAGAAACATCGATGTGAAAGGGACACATCGAGTGGCTGCCACCCACATGACCAACCAGGGCCGGGGACAAACTGCAACTGAGGTACGCGCCCTTAGCGGGAACCGAACCCAGGTCTCTGGACTGCAGGCTGATGCTCTAACCGCTGAGCCAAACTGACCAGGGCTCCATGTCCTTTTTAATGCTGTTGAAGTTCTCTTTTAAGTTCAACTATTCTTCTCCTAAGTTCATTAAACATCCTTATAACCATTTTTTTGAAATCTGCATCTAGTAGATTGCTTGTCTTTGTTTTGTTTTGTTTTGTTCTGTTCTGTTTCTGGAACTTTGTTTTGGTCTTTCATCTAGGACGTTTCTTTGTCTCCTCATTTTGGCAGCCTTCCTATGTCTGTTTCTGTGTATTGGGTGGAGCTACTTTCTCTCCTGGGCTTGGAAGAGTGGCCTAATATAGTAGGTGTCCTGTAGGGTTCATTGGCACGGCATCCTGATCACCTAAGTTGGGCACTCTAGTTAACACCTCCCTCTTGCCCCTATGTGGGCTGTTTATACACTTCTGTTGTAGTTGAGCTTTGATTTCTGTTGGCTTGTCAGTGGGAGGGATTTACCCCCAGGCTGACTGCAAGGACTGGCTGTGACCACGGACCACTGTGGAGGATCAGCTATGCAGGGGCCTGCCCCACAGAACAGGACTTAACTTCAGCAGGGCTCTGGTGCCCACTTAGTCTGCCCTTGAATATATTGCTGTGGAGGTGGTTGGGTGGTGTTGCGACGTGGTCTGAAGCTGTCTACTGGGTTTGCTGGCTCTGGGGCCTCCTGGGAGGTGCAGGCCAAGGTTAGCTGCTGCCTATGTTCTGCCTGGGGCCACCCAGCATGAGCTACAAAGTGGTCTGCAGATGACTGCTACTTGTGCTGGGCTTGGAGTGCCCAGGCAAGGCCAAGCTGTGAACCAAGGCTGGATGCTGCTAGTGCTGGGCCTCTTAACAAGTGGTATGCAGCATAGGGAGGCCAAATGCTGCTTGTTTGTGAGTTTTAGGAAAGTCTGAAGCATGAGCCAAGATGCCATTAGTATGGAAAAGCCACTGGAAACAGCTTTGGGTGGGCCCGCAAGTTGGTTGGGGTGGGATCTCAGGGAATCGCCAGGGTGGGGCAAACTGTGAGCCAGGTTCATGGAGACTCAGATATGGCACCTACTGGCTTTGTTGGGGGAGGGCTTATTAAAGGATCATTGGCCTCTGCTAGCATTTCTGTCTGGGAGATAGCTGTCCCCCAGCTCTCATCCTGATGTTGGATAATTCAGTTCTTCCCCATATGTCTCTAGTACCCTTTGAGCTGCTATCCCCATCGCTGGAGCTCAGAGGGAGTGAGTCTGAGTAAGTCTGTGCATGGGCTCTTTAAAAGGAATACCTGAGACTCCAGTAGCCTCTGCCTCTCTCAATTTCAATTCCTGCTAGATTTTACAGCCTGAAGTTAGGGGGACTTCTTTCCCTGGCACTGGAACCCTGAGCTTGGGGGCCTGGGATGGGGCTGGGACCCCTTGCCCCTCAGGGGGAACCTCTGCAGCCAAGATAACCCCTCCAGATTTATATCCTCCACACGTGCGTATGCGACTAGCCTTTCCACATCTCCGCCCCTCCTACCAGTCTGGATGTGGCTTCTTTTTTGTATCCTTAGTTGTAGGACTCCATTCAGCTAGATTTCAAAAGGTTCTGAATGAAGGTTGTTCTGTAGTTTAGTTGTAATTTTGATGTGATTGTGGGAGGAGGTGAGTACTGAGTGTATTCACGCTGCCATCTCGACTGGAAGTTCTGCCCTATATTTCTTGAAGTGGGGAATATACATTCTATCCGGGTGCAGCTCCTGGTGTCCTTCTCTTCCCTAAGGCTTGTATTTTGTAGATTGAGTAACCAAAGAATTTATTTGTATTAGAAAATGAACTACATTTAAAGTTAATTATGATTTAAGAAAATGTTCATTTGTTTGCTCTTTTATAGATTGTAGCACATAGTTTGACAGAGCATTTTATTTATTTATTTATTTTTGACAGAGCATTTTGGTGGCAACTCGTTTTCTTTTACTATTTCTGGAAACTAAACAGTAAATGCAATAGTAATGCTTTGAATTTTGTGAAACTGATTAGAAAGATATAAGTAGTGTTTTGTTATTGAAGGTGTGACTTTTTTCTGTTTCATGTTTAAGGAAACTATTATGATATAGTGGATATTGCAGGTGCTAGAAAAAGAAACTTAATTTGCTGCATAGTATTTGCAAAATCATAGCTGTAGTCATGGTGTAATGATGTGTTTGCAGTGTTTCTGCCTGCCACATATTTAATCTTGAACCTGCATGAAGCTACGTGGCTTAGAAACGTCAAGTTGATTTAACACCTGAATGTTGAAAATATATCACAAATTGGTTTACATATACCTTAATAACTAATAAATTTGTACAAAGTAACCAAGGCTGTGTTCAGAATCTGGACATGTATAAAAATAGTCCATGGTAGATATAAAAGAACATTGTTTTCATTTTTAAGTTCATGGTATTAGGATTTTATCTTTAAAATAAGATGAGAATATATTTTGAATGGTTAAAAGCTACATAAATGTATTTTAAGTCATTTTTCTGAAGCTTTGATTTATATAACCTGTTTATGTAAGATTAAACGCACAAGGTTACTTTGGAGGATTTATGTTATCCAGTCTTAAAACAGTTTGCTTAGAACTTAACTTTTTCCTGGCAGTTGATCCAGTCCCCTGTGACAACCCCCCTCGGGCTAATCATGTTGAAGACAACTTCAGAAGAGCTGGCTTGTCCCCGGGAAGACCTCAGTGTGGCTCGGAAAGAGGAGTTGCGGAAGCTGCTGCTGGACCAGGTGCAGACAGTGCTTAGTCTACTGACAGGTGAGCACAGGTGGTGCCAAAAGAGAGAGGCCTGTCCTGGCCTGTGTGGCTCAGTGGCTAGAGCGTCAACCCACACACCGAAGGGTCTTGGGTTCAATTCCTGGGTTGCATGTTCTATTTCTGGCCCTAATCGGGGCGTGTATGGGAGGCAACCAATTGACGTGTCTCTCTCATATAGATGTTTCTCTCTCTATCCCACCCCCTTACACTCTCTCTAAAAAAATCAATGGAAAAATATCCTTCGGTGAGGATTAACAACAACAACAAAAAGACAGAGGCCTGCCTGCAGATGTCCAGAGCTGAGGCCCTGGTCCTTAGTGTTTTTGAGCAGTTGTTTTAGCTGTTACTGAACCTGAGCATAAAAACAAAGAATGTGGTGCTATATTCCCAGTACCAACCCACTGTCCAACACATGGTAGGATCTCAAAACATGTTTGTAACTTATTTTTCTTAAAGTCTTCCATTAATTGGTCCTCACTCTTACTGTGATTAATGAGGTATATACCAAGTCATAGGAATGTGATTGAAATTCTGACTACTGTATCCTAAGTAAGGTGGGTGGCAAGCACTTTATTGAAAATAATTTGTATTTAAGATCAGGAGAAGTTGGAGTAGTAGGAAGGTATGGACATTTCAAATGTTGTGTGGGGAAATGAGACAGACAAGGTGTGCAGTCAGCACCGTGTGTGCTAGATTGTAGTTGTATGTAGCATTTTCTTTGCCATCTTGTCTGTTTTATTGGGGGCCCATGACAATGTGTGAAGAGTAAGAATGAACAGAAAGCAAACCGAAGAATGAGACAGGAGGTAAGAAGAGAGTGGAGCACCCTAAGTCAGGAGGGCTGTCAGTGGGGTCTGTTAGGAGGCTCAGGTGCAGCCTGGCTGATAGGGGCCAGGAGCTTGGGCTTGCTTGAAAATGTAGTAGTGATAAGAAGTGTTCTTCTCTTCAGCTCCTCTACCCAGGTTTCTTGGATGTCTAGGAATTCTTTTCTTTTGTATATGTTACAAAAGTGATTGCATGTGGTGGCCACTTAAAGTCGGTTATAAGAATGCTTGATCAAAAGCAATATTGTTACTTGCCCCCACCCTTCCCCCAGATCCCTAGGCGGAAACCCAACCCTCAGAGCATTCATTCAAAAAGCTCATTGACACCCCCAACCAGATGTTAAATTTCTAGAGTTAGGGACCATGACTGATATCTCTGTGTCCTACTTCATGTAGCTCTCACACTATAAATAGTGTGAGAACATTCCAGAACATTTACCACCCCTCCCCCAAACTCACAGTCTGTCTCTATGGATTTTTCTTTTTGGACTTTTCATAAAAATGGAATCATACAATATGTGAGCTTTTGTGTCTGGCTTCTTTTACTTAGCATATTTTCAGCATTTATCCATTCCATAATGTTAAATATTTGAGAACAAAATAATTTAAAAAACTTTTATGATCACCATAGGTACCAGGTTCTGTAAGAAGAGACAAAGAGGGATAAAACAGTCTCTGTCCTCTCATAATGTATACTGTGGTAGAGGAGAAAGACAGTTACAAAGCTGCATTAAGAGTTTTAGTAGAGTTGTGTTTTATGTGCAGGCAAAACCTAACAGACAGGAATACTTCTGGAGGAGATGAGCTGAGTGGAATTCTGAGGACCAGAGAGGTAGCAGTTAGTGTGGTGTAAAGGTGAAGTTGGAATTCTGGGGGAGGGAGCAGGTCGGAGATTGAGAAAAGGAAGGACACATGTGGAAGAACAGCAAACAGCAGTTCAGCCTGATGAAGCCTTAGTGTGGGGTAGGGATGAGGCAAGATGAGGAGATTGGAGGCCTGATGCTGAGATTATGTGGGGTGGTGCTCTTTATTGGGTGAGGGAGATAAGAGGATTAATGGCAGGCTTGTGGGGGGAAGGTAAATTGACTTTGAAATATCCAAGTGGTGCTGTCCAAGAAGCAGTTAGACATATGGTGGAGGGGGATGTTAGACACTGATGTTTGATCAAAGATATCAATAAATTGTTTTTTAAATCTGACTTGCATATTATGTTGCACTTTATTTCTCTCTTAACCTCAGTTTCTCCTTTCTTGGTATAGGTATCTTGGAGACTGTCTGGGACAAGCACAGCGTTACTGCTGCCACCCCACCACCATCCCCAACCTCAGGAGAAAGTGGTATGATCTGCTTGCCACACATGGCGTTTCTCTTTTTAAATACATTGGAGGGTCCCAGCAGGATAGCAGTTGCGTATTTATGCCAGATACAGATGCTGATTCTTCCTTAATCTATTTTTGGCCTTTTTGCCCATGTTTTCTGAGTAGCTAGCTTTCTTAGTTCCTCATAAGTACTTGTACTTTCTAATATAATACTTTGAACAACATTTTTTTTTTTTTTTTTTTTTTTATTTATTTATTTATTTATTTATTTATTTTAATCCTCATCCGAGGACATTTTTCCATTTTTTGTACAGACAGAGTGGGAGGGAGAGAGAGAAAGAGAGAGAGAAACATCGATGTGAAGGGACACATCGAGTGGTCGCCACCCGCACGACCAACCAGGGCCGGGGACAAACTGCAACCGAGGTACATGCCCTTAGCGGGAACCGAACCCGAGTCTCTCCGGACCGCAGGTGGACGCTTTAACCGCTGAGCCAAACCGGCCAGGGCTGAACAACATTTTTGTATCTTCCCTTCCCATCAGGAAGATGGCACCTTTGATCTTCTGTCACCCATTTCCATTCCCTTCAGCTTATAACTGCTGATCCTCCTAGTTTGTTTGTCCCTTTTTCTCAATTTTCATGGCTGTGTTGCTCATGCTGAGGTTGGTATGAGCCTGCAGGCTTAACAGGTCTGCTTTGTGGTTATGCAGGGGTCGCTGTTGCAGGAGATGGGACCGAAGGAGGGCCTGAAGGAGGGGACCGGGGAATGTGGAATGCTTTCTTCTCCGCTGGGCTCGTGAAGACCAGTGTGCAGTAATCAGCTTTGACTTTACATCAGTTCAGAATCATATGGGCTTTATATGTAGTGGTCATTAAATAGTTTACTGTGGTTAGTTACTGTCCACAGTTACATTAATTAATATCTGTTTCAAAAGTCAGGGTGCAGTTCACCTAAAAATGGCTCCTTTCAAGGGCGTATGGAAAAGAGGAAATTGTGTCTGAGCAGGAACTTTTAGTTTCTAAATGCTTCTGTTTACACTAAGTGATCACAAATGCTTTTCAAGTAGAGTACATCCTGTGAATTGGCACATATTTCTTCCTCTACTGTAAAGGTTGATGTGGCTAATGAGAAATATTTACACATCTTTGTCCTGTACCCCAAGGAAGTGGACTGTGAAATCAGACATCTCTAAGTCCGTGCTGTTTCATGTAGTCTTGTTAATATGTGGAAGTTGAAATTCTTAGTTACTGGAGAATTGAAAATACATCATGAAGTTTTGGGAATTGCTCATAGTATACTATTTATTCCAAATTCCATTTATAATACTTGGATTAAAGACATTTGGAGCCCTGGCTGGTTTGGCTCAGCATTTAGAGTGTCAGCCTGTGGTCCAGAGAGACCTGGGTTCGGTTCCCGCTAAGGGCACATACCTCGGTTGTAGTTTGTCCCTGGCCCTGGATGGGTCATGTGGGTGGCAACCACTCAATGTGTCCCTTTCATGTCGATGTTTCTCTCCCTCTCTCTTCCTCTCTCTCCCTCCCACTCTATCTGAATAGAATATGGAAAAATGTCCTCAGGCAAGGATAAAAAAATAAAAAAATAAATAAACATTTGGAGTTATGCTGGCCTGGGTGGCTCAGTTGGTTGGAGTGTCACTGGTGGCGGGTTCTATTGCTGATCAGGGCACATACCAGGTTGCAGGTTTGATCCCTGGCTGGGGTGCATGCAGGAGGCAACCGATCAATGTTTCTCACATCAGTGTTTCACTCTCTCTCTTTCTCTCTCTAAAATCAATAAAAATAAATACATAAATAAGTGAAAGTTAAAAAAAATCATTGAGAGTCATTTGTCATACTTCTTAGATTAAAGTCTATTACACAGGCCTACAGTATAATAAAAGCCCACAGGAAATTGAACTTTATTTGTACTTGGTGGCAAACCTTCATTTTCAAGGTGGATATTTGAGGTGACTTAGCAGATTTATATTTTGCAATATTTAAATGATTGAAGCAAAAATTGCAAATGATGCAGAGATTTGATTTTATGATTGTACCCCTTGGAGTCTCCTGCAATTTAGTTGCATTTAAATAATAGTTTGTAAAGATTCCTTCTTTTGAATTAGATTTGTTTTTAGATAGTTGAATCCTAGCTTACTTAGCATCTAGTTAAAGTTTTCAGCATCAGTTATACTTCATTAAAAGTTGTTTTTCGGTGATAGTTTTCCACTACCAAAATCTGTGTGTTTTTCGGTGATAGTTTTCCACTACCAAAATCTGTGTGTTTTAGTTGGCTTTTTTCAGGTACATTCCAAGCTAATAACTCAGTTTATACTTTGATAGACTTATTTTCCTGGAGGCCAGGTTGGGGAAATATCAAAGAATACAATTAAAAAATAATGCTTGTGCCTGGATGGTGTGGCTTGGTGAGTAGAGCATCAGCCCTTGCACGGAAGGGTTTTGGGTTCAATTCCTGGTCAAGGGCACGTATCTGGGTTGCAGGTTTGATACCCAGCCCCGGTTGGGGCATGTGTGGGATGCAACTAATTGATGTCTCTCTCTCACATTGATGTTTCTTTCTCTCTCCCCTTCCCTCCCTTCCGCTCTCTCTAAAAATCAGTGGAAAAAAATATTCTTTGGTGAGGATTAACAACAAAAAAATAATACTTGCTCTTTCATATGTTGCCTAGGTTTTGTTTATAAGGTTAGGGAAAATACAATATGAACTAATTTGACATTTCCATATAAACAAAACCTGAAAATATGGTGTGTACTTCTTGACAGTTGCCTCTTAGACACTATTAAAGTTTTTTTGAAGTCTTGAATTTATAGTGTTTGAGAAAAAGCAAAATAGATTGAGACTGTGGGCAGGGGGCAGAGGAGTTAAGTAAACTTTGATATGCTTTCCCTTTAAAATTAATAGAATTATATGTTCACTTGTTACACTTTTTTCTCTTTGTGACAGTTGCAAATGAAGTCAACAGATTTGCCCTAATACTTGGATAGCACTGATGATTTAATCAACATTTGTTTCCTTACTTTTGCTCAACTGCCTTTGTGCACTTAAGACACCAAGTTAAGCAGTAAAACTTCTAGAAAATGGTTTTTTTTTTTTCTTGACCATAAGCTTAGTTTTATGTAGGGAATCCATTCTGAGAAATGTTAGGACCCAGTGAGTAACCAAATAATTTTTAAACACACCCCATCAGTAGTTCCTGGTGGCCCCCCATGCCCTGCCAGAAACCCTGTGCACTCCCTGTGAGACTTAGCCCTGTGGGCTTTTGGTCTCTTTTTTTCATATACTCTTTGTAAAGTTGTTTTCTGTCTGATCACTTTCAAAGAACAAAGCCCGGGGACTAGTTCCTGCAGCAACTGCTGTAACAGTGGATATAGAAAGTCTCAAAGGGTGTGTGTGGTTTATTTCTCAGACTAGTTCCCCAAATTGTTGCCTTATCTCCTAAACTCCTTTCACTAGAGCATATGTAGATGTGAAATAGATGAAGGTTTTATGTTTTGTTTACAAACAAGGAATCTGGGACTCATGGGGAGTGACTTGCCAGAGGTCACACCACCAGTAAGTGGTGGAACAGGGATGTGAATCCGTCATCCCTAAGCTAGGTGCACTGTCCTTGTCCGAAGTTTGCTTTCTTGGTCACTCTCACCACTTCTGCCGGCCTCCTCCTTCCCCTGGTTTAGAGTCCTGGCTCTGCTACGTCCTCTGTGCCTTCCTCTATACTGACTGTTGCTGCTGGCAGCTTAAGAGGAGAGCAGCTTCCCTCTGGGGATGCAGTGAGGGAAGGTGTGGATGTGTCCTGTGCAGGCTGTGATTGTGGCTGCCTTTTGCATGCCTGCCGCCTCAACCTCCTAGTCTTCTCTTGTCTTCTTTTTGCTTGGACAATTGGAAAAAAGTGAACAGAATGAAATTGTATTAATACTGCAATTCTAAGTGAACTTTGATTGTTCTGCAGTAAAAATTTCTCATCCACATGATATGTATTTTCAAATACAGATCTGTACATGCACTGGTGATGGGAAGTGTTTCGGGATGCAGGTATGTTAGAGAGCTCGAGTTGATTGAGACCAATTTATACCTTCCTATTTTTCCCCAAACTCTTTTCAAATTGCACATCTTTGTGCACTTGCAAATCTTTTCATGTATTCCCTTATAAGCTACTTATGGAAAGATGGGACTTGGGAGGGTCACTCACAATTCCTGTGATCTCGTTTTCTTCTCTTAGGGGCTCCTTGAATAGAGTTTCTCACCATGTGGTCAATGGTTCTCAGTTGGGCTTTTTTACCCTGGAAGGAATGATTTGGCAATGGTGGAGAAACTTTTTGGTTATCATAACTGGATGAAAGAAGACCTCTGGCATCTGGCAAGTGGAGGCTAGGGATGTTGCTGAAATATTCTACAGTGCACAGAACAACAAAGAATTACCTAGCCCAAATGTCAGTAGTGCTGAGGTTGGGAAACTGAGTTAGTAGATGTAGAACAGCATAAAAAACATAGGTCATTTTAATAATTAAAAAAATAGGAAAGCTGAGGGGATCTTTGCATGAAAGCTTGTACAGGTTTTCCAACCATGTCTGGGTTGCTTCCAAGTCTAAACACACTGGAGTCATCCACACATGTCTTGGGGCATGGGTGCATACTGCTGCCAAGGCCTTGCCCAGTTCAGGGAAAATGAAGTCGCCCATAGGTTTGATTACTCAAGGTGCCCTCTTACACAGGTAGCTTGTAAAAACTCTCAAGTTTGCATTGGAAGTACTGTAGCATGAAGCAGAGTCTCTGTTCTTTGGTAATTCCTTCCACTTTGATTAAAATGTAATTTTTGAAACATTTTTCCATATCTACTGAAATATCTTGAAGTAGAATAAAATCACTTTCATTGAGGAACAACTTTTTTTGAGGGGAAAAAAATCATAAGTCATCCTTGTCCACCTAAATAATTTTTACCTTTGCATAATTCTGTTCAGTTTTTGTGCTTATATCTTTCTATAGTTGTGGTTACAGTGTAC